AACAAAAATATTTTGTCGTGAAATCAAAATAAATGTACATTTTTTTGTACCGCTAAGCAAACTTTCTAAGAAAAAATATTGCTATTTTTAACAATAGAAATATTGATTATATTTTTTCATATTATATTGATCAAAAACTTAGACGGCAGATCGACTAATCTAATATTAGACATTTGGTTTTAGACAATAATCAATACTAGGTACTGCTTGTTAGTATATCGTTTTTGTATTATCAAAGGAATTCAGACTGAGGTCATATAATTCAGCTTCACAGTCAGAGATATTATCACTAAGTGATGTTACATGACTGGGATTCACTTTAGGTCAACATATACAGGATGTTTTAGATTATTGTTCATAGTATAATCCTATTGACAGGCCAGACCTTGTTCTGATTGAATCCTGAATGATGGTGTTTGGCTAGAAGTAAGAAAATAGGCAATATGCCATAGGTTATTATCAAACGATTTTTTTTATTTAGACCAACAATTATTTTTATAGTTTGCACCACGGACCGATCTTAGTTGATCAATTACTGAAAACCAATAGTTATTACGTCTTAGTGGGCGAATTCCAACTGTACGAATACACGACAGTATTAGTCATCGAGATAAAGTCCGTAATATTTTGAAGCGAGCTGTTAATCTGCAAACCACTGAGTAGGATTACAATGGTGAACATGTTTAGTCGAAGGAAGGTTATATTGAACCTTTGTAATGCTGTTTGTTCAGTTGTCCATCGCTTCTTTAGTTTAAGTTTCATCATGAAAAACACCAGATGGTGATCTGAAGCTATGTCGGATCCTCTCCTGGTTCTTACGTCTTCCATCGACCTTTTGAATTTCTTACTGATGTAATTATGATCGACCTGATTCTCTGTACTTTGATCCAGTGAAACCCATTTAGCTTTGTGTATGTGTTTGTGGGGTAATATACTGTCACCTATGACCATTTTGTTGAACGCACATAAATTTGCAAATCTGCCACTATTCTCGTTTTTTTGCTCTAGTTCATATAGTCCCATGGTGTCTTTATAGCAAGTGTTGTTCATTCCGACTTAGGCGTTTAGGTCTCTCATTAGGATGGTAAGGTCCTTTCCTGATCACTTTTCTATAACCGACTACCAGCTCTCGTATAACTGATCTTTATCGTCTTCATTGCTATCATTGGTGAATCCATTGTGACTCCTTTTCTCTCTGTTTTGAAGGATGATTGGGTGGTTCTGGATCCATAAGATTCTCATCCTATGAGCGCTTTCTATTCTTCTTTGAACAGCATCGGTGTAACTTTTTGTATGTGGGAAACACTTCCGACAAATAACAAGTAGTATTTACTCATTTCCGCAGCAATTTGACCAGTCCTTCTAGTCTCCCACAGTACCATGACATTTAATATACCTATATTTATTATTGCTACGGTTGTCAGAAAGGGCATCGGTGTCTTAATTTATGAAGAATCTTGGCTTTCACTATAAAACGTCATAACGCTCCTAAATAAGAATCCTTCAAATCGTAGGGCAGAGTTTAAACGGTTTAAATTGTTTTTTTTTCAGATTAGCGTTTTTTAGCAAGGTTGTTTTTTGCTGGATGGGGTTGCAGACTCTATTCCCAATCCTTCTTTATACGAGCTTGGGACCGGCAGTAACTCTAGAAAGAATATAGGCGGAATTGACAACTGAAAGATGAGTTAATTCTCACGAACAAATCTGCATTCAGGAGACTAACGAGAGTTTAGTTTTTTTCGACCATATTACCTACTAAAAGCTGTAGTCATGTCTGTTATTATTTTATATATTCATTAGTATCTTTTGATAATTCATCAATAGGAGCCTGGTCTTTGTTTTCCAAAATGATATGTTCAGTCACTTATTTCACAGTAATTGTATTATTCTACCTTTTTCTTTAGTTTCTTACACGTTTTCAGCCCTTTCCTATTTACATCGCACCATCAAGTGGATATATGGTTCTTCTATATGTTATGTCAATTCTTACTACCATTCGAATATTATGTAACATCATCCGATAAGTGAACATTCTTGATTAGATTTTTCTAGCTATGTTGATTATGCGTAAATGTTCCATTTCATTACAAAATACTATGTGTAAAACAGTAGCATTATCGAATTATACAGCTGAAAAGGAACTTTTTCCTCATGAATTGTTGCTATTTTTAAGTGATGCAACGAATGTTTACTCTTAGATCAGTTTTTTTTGCCACTGGCGTAAAACCTGAGTTAAAAATACTATTCCGTGATATTTGAATAATAATAATACTGACAATAATCAATTATGCAAAATTATTATCATGAAACATTTGGTGAGATAGTTTAGTTTGTAGTTTCAGTCATAGACTTCCTATTAACTTGAAAATCAGTGGAAATTAAAATTCAACGATTTTCCATGTTTACCATGTTATGTTTAGTCAGTAATGTAATGTTTGACCATTTAAAATATCGTTTTGTCGAAACATAATGTAAAAAATTGAAAAAACAATCAACATTGAGGTCTACAGGGGAAGCTGTGAGCCAAATGTGGAGAAATTAGAACAATTCACTTCTACCTGAAGTTTGTTCTGATGATGTCGTTCATAATAACGATGAAAGCTGCAAGACTAAACCATTCATCTCAGAGAACAAAACTTCATCACAAAGAAAAACTCTGATTATTCACATTCTGATGTGAAATTAAAATCTTATTTACTAGGAAATTTTGAAGGTTTTTTATAGAATTTCTGATTTGGGCTGTATAATTCATGACTCAAAAAATGAAATCTGAATAATGTCGGTTCATCAAATAATATCAATTCGTGAGGAAAATTAGCTTCGGATTCTGACGTGATACTATGACTATTGGTTGAAACTGAAAGTAGAAGTAAGAACGAACAATTGATCATTAGCAAAACTGAAATGGTCCAATGCAATAAAAAAGATGAATAATTATGTATCTCACTATCCGAATACTTGAAAACTTCTTTTGTTTTGCTTCTTAACAAATTAACTTATTTCTATACAAACCTACTTGAACAATTGATTCATTAATAAAAGCAATAATGAATTGATATGAAACGATATATCACACTAAACTAATCCAAGAAAATATCACATTGATTTTAATCATAACAAGGTATCCCATTAAAATGGTCTAAAATAATGTGTAATACTATGGGGAGCAATACTAAACAAAAATACCCTACACAACTCCATATTCAATCCCTTAATAATAATTATTTAAATTAATGTTTTTATCAGACTGGGAATATTATTCCATTTTATCAAGATTTTTGAATGACAATCTTCTCATTGTTTAGTATTAAACATTACTTACTTACTTACTTACGCCTGTTACTCCCAATGGAGCATAGGCCGCTGACCAGCATTCTCCAACCCACTCTGTTCTGGGCCTTCTTTTCTAGTTCCATCCAATTCTTGTTCATTTTTCTCATGTCTATCTCCATTTCTCGGCGTAATGTGTTCTTTGGTCTTCCTCTTTTCCTTTGACCTTCAGGATTCCATGTGAGGGCTTGTCTTGTGACGCAGTTCGGTGCTTTCCTCAATGTGTGTCCTATCCACAGTATTAAACATTAGCTGAGATTTAATTACAATATAATGAAAAAAGGAACCAGTTTACTGTCTTACTATAGAACACATTTATGATAGTTAAGGTTTAAATATAATTATCTTTTACACTACTCATTAATTAGACTAGAAATAAATGCAATCCAATGCTTTTATTTATAAGTGATTAATAAGAGTAGAGTTGGGGAAAAAAATGCAATAACCATGACTAATCCATAAGTCTATCAAATAACGTTATAATATAAGGTTGACTGATTACTTCCTGTTGCGATGAGATAAAAGCCAAGAATATGGTTTGATCTCGATATAAAATCCGTTTATATTCAGTGTGATATCTATGTGGTACTTGTTAAGCATAACATCTTTTTGCATAAATTTCATATTTTTTACTGAAACTTTGATCATTCATTTGTAACAATTCAGCGTGGCATGTATTCACTGGTGCTTTACTAAGTAATTACTAGAGTTCTAGCGTGAGAACATGATCAGTGAAGTTAAACCACGTAACCTGTTATGACTTTATGTCCGGCTTTTTACACGTGATTTATCCACCAATCAAAATACGACTTATACAATCTTAGCACCGTGCCAAACCAATGACGTTCGACCGGTATGGACAGCCTAGCATCCTTATTGGTCCTGTGTCCGCCTAGCCCGTCCACTTGAGCCCAGAAAACCAATACCAGCTTCCACTGTGCGAACCATTTATTTCAGACATATTGGGTTTATATATCAAACAAACAGACTGCAACACACCATAAAATAGGAAATAACATTTGTACACAATAAAGCCAAAAAGTAGCTGTGAACGTGGGAGGCAGTAGTTAGTAAACTGAGCATAATTTAGGGACAGTAAATCTTATAATAATAAATTATAGGTCAAAATGAAGGTTATAATAAGAGGAATATAAATATATATAATCTAATTATTGAATAATTATACCATGAGAATATTTATACAATATTAGTTCATTAATAGTCCTTGGAAGTTACTCGCAATTTATTCTTCACTAGGATATAGCATAACCAACGAGATATCATCAGTGTTAGTGAATGATAATCGTACAATATCGAGAATCGATTTAAATTATAAATGTAGATCAGTCAATACAGACTCAGTAGTCTAAAGATGAAATACTCACCGCGAGACCTGAAGGTCTTGGGTTTGGACCTAGATAAGGTTGGTCGATGCGCACTACTGAGGACTCCCATGATAGGATGAGACGGCTCTCCAGTGACTCCTAGTTATGATGAATAAGATGAATAAAATTCCATATACATTTTGGATTCATTTTTTATTTCCTTGAATAAATTGTATAACTAATGATAACATCATTCGAATTTATTAACAATCGTCATATATATAATTGATTAAATAGATGTAAACCTTTATTCTTGTTATCACTTTTTTTCAATTTAAAATTTAGTTATGTGTTTCCTCCGATCAATCGACTACCTGATGCATTTCGTGATGTGCTAGCGAATTTAAAGTATGTTAATCATGTACTTTTCCGTCATTGTATAAAAGTTTTTTCTCGTGTCACTTTTTCTTGCTGAATGATTTCGTTGAATATGTGTTTTACCTTATTGTGAAACAATTTTTATTTTATTCTGAATTAAAGATTTATTTAGATTTGTATATACTAACCTAAACATTCAATTCATAAATTTTTTATGGAAGAATTGTTATACATGATTAAATATTCAATTAGTAAATCTTACTTTACTTACTTACGCCTGTTAATCCCAACTCCTGACCAGCATCCCCCAACCCGATCTGTCCTGGGCCTTTCTAATTCCATCTAATTCTTGTTCATTCTTCTCATGTCTGTCTTCGTTTCTTGGCATAATGTGTTATTCGGTCTTCCTCTTCTCCTTTGGCCTTCAGGATTCCAAGTGAGGGATTGCCTTGTGACGTAGTTGGGTGCTTTGTTCAATGTATTTCCTATCCACTTCCAGCACCTCATCCTGATTTCTTACTCCGCTGGGATCTGATTTGTTCTCTCCCATAGTAGGTTGTTGCTGATAGTGTCTGGCCAACGGATCAGAAGTATTTTGCTTTGACAACTGTTAATAAACACGTGTATCTTCTGGATGATGGTTTTCATAGTTCTCGAAGATTCTTCCCCATACAGTAGACTTATCTTGACATTTATGTTGAAAATTAGTGCATCTATCAGTGAATACTTTCGATGTATTTGCGTTTAGTATTCAACTACTTTAATTTCAGCAATCTACTTGTCTAAAATCGGAGTTCGCGTTTAATTACAAGTCCAAAATCAACTGAACTCATTTACCAGGAAAATGTTAACGTAGTCAAATTTGAGACACTATTTTCATGATGGTTGATAATTATGTCTAAATGGGTTAAGTTGAAATAAGGGTATACACTTTGAACCTGAAATTTATTAGTTGTGGACTAAGCGTAACAGCCACCAATAATTTTAGAGTCACAACTAAATGATCCCGATGAGTGTTTGTAGTTATAGATAATTTGTACCATAAACTAATATTACTTAGTGAATCACACTTTGTTGACTTGAGCTTATTGAATAATTCTAGTCTCATTAGTGACATATAGTTGATTCGATACAATACGGTTTTCTGTGAGAATGTCGTAAACTATGTCTGGAAACTAGTTAATGGTTACCAGAGAATGATTATTACGTTTATTAATAAAAAAAACGTCAAAATACGCAAGACATTTCTATAAAACCAATGACTTCATTAATTATTAATTACTAGGTGTTAATTGACATAGGGATGAAGTTTCCCTAGTTGAATCAATGTATGGAGCTAATAATGTCAGTATTGAGAAAAGCAATCACTAACCTCGTAGCTTTTAAATAGATCATTAATAATCTGAATCATTAAATTTTTACATAGTGATCTAAGAATATCTTGTTCATCAATGATAAAATAGATTCAATCTTCCATAAAGTAATTGATCCTTATTTTAGAGTAGTCCCAAACAAAACCAATACTACTGTCCAGTTCTACCTGATTTTTACTGATTCGATAATTCATCTCTGTATATTATAATCGATCATTACTTTGCTACTTATTCTTTTTAATCATTTAAATAATACACTTGAAAACGTTTCATTTGAATAATTGTCATTGATGCATAATTGTTAATCAGTATTATCAATTTGTATCATTTACTCAATTCATAGTGTCAGTGAATACTTTGAACAAAGAATCCCTTGTTCAAATGTAATTCTCAATACTTCATATATATATATATATATATATATATATATATATATATATATATATATATATATATATATATATATATAACTTCATTTCATTTGCCATTAATTCCCAGTGGTTTTTATTTTTATTAATCAAGATTTTATTGTTCATTTAATTTTTTAAAAAAAATGAAGGTAAACAATTTTTTTCGGATATTTTGGGATTTTATAAAACATTTAGGGATAATTTCTAAAGAAAAAAAAATGAATTTATGCTAATTGATTAGTAAATTTAATAGATTGTGTTAGTGAATATCTAAACATGATCTAATTGATTCATTTACAAATGAAGTTTTTTGTTTTAATGAAATTTACTAATAGCTAGAAACAAAATTTTAAAGCGGGTGATTGAAATTTGGATTTTTTTTTAGTCGGATTGACCACTATCTTGTAGTTTATATAACTGACTAATTTTAGTTGGACAAAAATTGAAAGACCAGAAGAAAAAAATAGGTTTTTTGTTGTAGTATAGGACTTCTCAGTAAAGCATTTTCTTAACCCCTATCAAGGATAAAACCGAAGAACTTTAAGTTTGATGCAATTTCTTAATGTTTGGAGTTAGTATACAATGGTCTATATGTCCCATATTCAATTAACTCTAATTATTTGTAATGCAATTTATACAATGTAATAATTTTCATAACTTTTCATACTAATATTAACCAGTATCTATTGATGTTCCAGTAAAGATCAGTATTCACTATCCATAACTGCAAAAATCAAAAAATCATTCATAAGGTTTGGGAACTTCAACATATCATTTTTTTCAAGATAAAAATGTTTATAAGATTTGCGCTTATACAACAAACATAATTACAGGGAAAATGGTCATTTAAAAACAAAGAGTCTTAGATTAAACGATCGTTTCCAATGATTTCTTCACAAGACTCTACAGTTATAAATTTAGTGATATTATCTTTTCGTTACAACAAACAAAATAGTAAGGTTAGATTCATCCGAAAATTAATTAAAAATGGCAAACTTCAAATCGATTGAGTCTTGCAAACTAACAAAACAATACTATTGGCAATGTTGAAAAAGGTCATAGATAAGGGGTAAGAAAAAGTTAAGTCTTAATTAAGATCATGAATTTTAATCAATAGAATCAAATCGTTTGTAAAGCAACTTAGGACAACATGGGAATCGTCGTATAGTAGTTGTTGTTATGATAATAATAACATCAGTAATAAAAATATCATGTAGAATAAGAAAGGTGAAAGTATAATTAAAGGTAAGAGAAATGTCTTGGAATGAATAGTACATCATAATGAAGAGGGAATGACACAACGGGAACTAAAACTGGAAGGACCATGATGAGGGCCAAGGTTAACAAACGAGATGTATGTATCTTTTTTCTACACATCAGTTGAATGAGTTTCTTTTAAGTGATGCCAACTATTTCAGCTATATAGAGTAAGCAAATCCCTATGCCTTTTGGCAGTTTATTAAGAACTTGGTATATAACTGAAAAGTCATCTTTAGTATTAACATTATGTATACAGTCGATTAAGTGGGAAAGGATGCTACTGTTGGTAGAATTTTACTGCTTTGTCCTAACCATGCCGGTATCTGTTCACCTCTGGACTAAAATGCAAGGTAAAGAAAGAAGCTTGCAATAAAAAACCAATAGAAGCTTGGCTGTCAGCTCAAGGACAAATAGTGCTAGTGGCTACGTCTCAGAAACTAAGCTGTAGAATAAATAATAAACCAATTTAAAATCAAGATCTCGATTGATGAATTGGCAGATATTATTGGCTAACTTTCACGTTGTGCAATAATGATTATTTTCAATTTATAACTGTAGTGTCTGATGAGAAAGTTATCAAATTTGTTTGTTCTTTTTAATTCTATTTGCTTATAAATAATAATGATTACTGAACTCGTACAAAATTATAACCTTTCTTTAATAAATATTACATTCAGTTCCAATGTTTAACATAATGGTTCCCAGCACAACTATTCATTTACATTTTCATCGAGTTTTTATCACTCATAAGAATAAAACTGAGTCAAAAACACATTTATATAATCATTCCTTCTGTATAACACATTAACTGTTACATATCAGTTTAGATGACAAAGGGTGATATGCATCTATATTTTAATTTCAGTAAAGACATGAAAATGATAAAATGCTTGTTTCCAGTCTTGATAATTAAATATGATGCACCTGTAATTTATTATTCAACCAATCAGAAGTCACCTACTCAAACTTCACACGAGTTGTTGTCTGATAGCTATTTGGCATAAAATTTGTTTCAGATAAGCATTTATTCATGTAAGAGTACATGTCATTGTTTATTCTTTAGTGCGCCTTCGGAGATTTAACAATAAAAAATATCATTTATTATCGTAGGCTCTCATCCGTAATGTCAGAATCATTTTAATTTCCACCCCCCCCTTACGAAAGGGATAATTCACCTGAACAAATAAAATATTTTTCTCTTTCTTTTCATGAGTATATCACCTGATTTTTTCTCAAATACTGTGAACGTAATAAATAAAGATCTATAAAGTGATTTTCTTTGTAATCGAGGAGAAATAAATAACTCAATTGATGTTTCATGTAAAAAGCGATTATCGACCAGAACAATTAACACATGATAAAATAATTGACAATAATCTTTTTATTCAAGCCTGTCTTTAGAATGTGAACAAAATTATTCCGTCTATTTTAATTCTATGCTTCAAGTTCCTGTTATACTTCTTCTCCTTGTTAATGTCAAAATAATTTCTAGGAGATAATAAGATTTTTATTCTATATCCTCACTTTGTTTATGTCTTGGATACAAAAAAGATCTAACAAACCCATTTATCTTTTTTATGTAATATTGTATGTACCCAAAACTGTATTTTAACCTATCATTTTGTATGATGATCGTGCGTCCGTATGTGTTTTTTTTCTCTGTTCATTGAGAGATGTTGCTTCCTTCATCGATTCAAAATGTACACTGTTGCCTAACTTATTTCAATCAAACAAGATTCATTTTTACGGCAGATTTTCAATTTCAGCAGAATAATATCTAATGATAATGAGTAAAAAAAATCCAGATGACGAAACTATACTATAGTCATTAAAATATAAAGAATGTGATGGAGTATAAGGAATAATTTACATTTTCAAGACATTTAATGTATAGGAAATGAAATGTAATAATACAGCATAACCGAGTGATGTCTACCAACGAGATCAAATTAGAAACTCAAACATGCAAATTAGTTGGTATGAAAGA